AAAGCGCGCGGACCGCTTCTGCGGTCAAAGTCCGCACCTGCGGATATCGCACCTGCGGAATTAATCTGCTTCTGCGGAAATTCTTCAATTGGCCAACTTTGCACCTGCGACCCATATTTTGCATCTGCGGAACCGCATCTGCGGCCCCTTTTCCGCAGATGCGGAAATACCAGATATCAGCAATCTTCAGAAATCTCACAAGTCCAAATTCATCCCGATGGCCATCCGAAATCACCCCGAGGCCCCCGGGACCTCAACCAAAAGTGCCAACCCATCCTAAAACATCATTCAAACTTGCTCCAATCATCAAAACACCACAAACAACACCAAAACTATCAGATTACATCGGATTCAAGCCTAAGTTCTTCTAAAACTTCCGAATTACGCCTTTGATCAAAAACCCGACCAAATCACCTCCAAATAACCTGAAATTTTGCACACACATCCCAAATCACCTAACGAAGCTGCAGAAACTCTCGGAATTCCATTCCGACCCTTGGATCAAAATCTCACCTATCAACCGGAATTCGCCAAAATACTAACTTCGCCAATTCAAGCGTAATTCTACACCGGACCTCCAAAATCACTTCCGATCACACTCCTAAGTCCCAAATCATCCCCCAAAGCTAACCGAATCCGAGCCCTCTAACTCATAGTTCAACATCGGGTTGACTTTTCCAAAATAAGCCTTCCTTAAAGAGACTAAGTGTCTCATTTCCTTCCAAAAATCAACACAATTCAACTCGTTCACACAAGACACAGATAATGAAGCATAATGAAGCAGGAAATGGGGGAAACGGAGCGGTTCTCATGAGACGACGGGTCGGGTTGTCACATCCTCCCCAACTTACACAAACGCTCGTCTTCGAGCGTACCCAGAGTTGTCCTAGAAGCCAACCAATAGCTGAATGACCTTACCAAGCATATACCCGGGGTGATCCCACGTCACCCTATCTCCCATAGGTCCGATAACACAACATAGCTGAAATTTCACAATCCATCTAGTCCATAAACCATAGAACCACATTGCACTTTCCGAAATCATACACAAGATCAGAACCTCACATCTATACTCAGAATAAGCCCGAACCAGCTGTAATAACCCATACCTGCAACCTCAGGTGCAATCATATGATATACTACATAACCCAAACACTCGAAACGATAACTTCTATTCACAACAGTTGCCCACAACACCCGAATACTGGTAGAAAACCTCTTATCAACTAAGGTCTTATTCCAACACTTTCATATACTACCAACGATAAATGAAACACGCAATAAACCGTAACTATTTCTCAGATCAACCATTCATGAAGCCACTCCCCTTTTGACTAATACCACAACAAATTCTGAGCCGAACCTCGATATTATCCTTCCAACAAGCTGAAATCAAATCCGTTCGTATTCATTAGTGACCCCAACGATCACCTCGAATCCAACACACCACTCTGGTGATATGACACCTCAATACAGGCCTAAGCCACAACTTGCATAATACGCGCACCAATAAGAAACGGTCTGAACATACTCAAATCATGAAAAATGACTCAAACGAAAGAGCTGTACCTCAAGCTCATCAGTACCATCACAACACAAGGCTGAGACCCCGTCTCACATCATAGAAATAGAACACCTGAATCTACCCCGAAAGGTCATATCTCCACGTGGCCTCGCTACAATGCGCGATCCTATCCAAACACTGTTACACATGAAACACCTCAGTCACTATGCTCAAAATCGACAGCCACGCACAATTTGATGTCTGGAACCAAAGCAATTCATTACACCCACGGTGAAACAAACAACATACGCCACGTAACCCGATAGGTCATAACCAATACTCCATTTACCGAGCAACACCCAATTACTCTTCCCGCTCGACTCTCACTATGAATCCCCAATAGAACCGCACCACATGTGCCCATAACCAACAAATCATAACGTCTCACAACACTGAAAAGCAACTCATAGCTCTCCTCAGATCACTAACAAGCTCAATAATGATCGAATCAATCTATAGCAGATTCTGTAGCACGTCGTGCCCCCAGCTTTGGTGTAATCACCAACATCATCGATGGTGGACTTGAATGTAGTAAAGGTTCAAATGCACAAATGTGAGCAGAATCGGTTTCTACAGTAGATACTGTCAGATTTTGGGAGTTGACCTTGACAACAACTTGGACTGTGCTAACCAAAGGCCTTTCGGCCAGTAGGGACCTTAAATCAATTATAGTACTTTTGTGTAGCAGTTGACACCCTAATAAGGTTTGGTCCATCTAAAAATAATATGATCTCTTGCTTAATATGGAGCCTTAAAAGAGTTTATTGTCAAAACTCGAAGAAGCGCCATCTGAAGTTTGGGACTTCAGGGCCAAACTTCAGACATTACCAGGTTAAATTTTGTCTGAAGTTTGCAACTATCATGCCAGACTTCAGAAAAAATTATCTGAAGTTCAAATATAACAAGTTGATTTTTGTCTGAAGTTTGCACTACAAACTGAAGAACTTCAGACTAGTTTGTCTGAAGTTTGCACTATGAACTGAAGTTTTTCTGATTGCTTTTACAAGTCAGGCCAAACTTCAGACGAAAATATCTGAAGTTTACTTTGATAAGGTGAAGTTCAACCTTTAGACATAAATTTTTGCTACTTTAGGCTCCGTATGCCTGAAGTTATCTGAAAAGTGGGTAGACTTACAATTTTTTTTGAAAAGTGGGTATAAGTTCAATGGTGACCCCAAAACTGGGTATAGATGCAAATCCCCCATGTTTGTCTGACCAAGTAATTCATGTAATTGGATGTAATTGAGGAGGGGTGTACTTGCACTCTGCAATTCTCGAAGGGGGGCTCAGAATTGCTAGTAATTACATGGCGTAATTACAATGTTAATTTATGAATCTCTTTTCTTTTCTTTTTAATTTACTTTTTATTTCTATTCTTTTTTTAATTTATTTTTATTTTAACTTTTTAAATTCTTTTTTTCAAATATTATTGTTTTAGATTATTTATTTTTTATTCCTTATTTCTCATTTTTCAACCTTTACTTCGCGTGTTTCTACATAGTTTCTCATATTTTATTTTTTTCTTAATATTTTATTTTTATTTTTTATTACACCTAGCTATGTTATTATTTTAATTTTTTTTAAAAAAAAAATTATATCTCGGAATCTTAGAAAGAATAAGTCTTCCACAAACTTGACTTATAATGAGTGATGTCATCACAGTTGAACATTATTATTGGATGAGGTTATATGCAAACTTAACTATGTTAAAATTATAGATTACTTTTTAGTATTTAAATAATATTCTCATTTTCCAACCTTTATGTTTTGTGATTCCATGTAGTTGCTCATATTTTTTATTTTTCTTTAATTTCTTCAATTAGCAAAATCGTGCGATTATTCTAGTTTTAAAACTACACCTCCTAATATTAGAAATAATGAGTAATTAATAAACTTGACATATAATGAGTGAGGTCATTAAAGTATAATCTCATTGCTGCATGAGGTTATAGACTTATGTTTTTCTTTTCTTTTAAATTATATTTACTTAAGTTATGTTGGAACTTATTTTACGCTATTTTGTAATTTTACATAAGGGTATTATGTTAATTCTTTTGGATTATGAATTTATGTTATAATTTTGGTCTATTTATTTTCTTTAGTAGTATTGACTTATTAATTCAGATTGTATGCCATCATTTTTGAGTTAGAATTGATAGAATATTTTTTCATAAAATATTTGAATAATATTATGATACTATATTTATAAATATTAATTTTTTTATAAATCATGCAGTCGATAATGTTCTTTCAAAATATGTACTTTTAGTTTTTATAATTAATTAAAGTAAAATATTATTGATTTAAAAAATATATGTCAATTTTTTTACAATATTAGTCACAAATATATGATTAGTAATTAGTTTATTTTCAAGAAACAATATGTATCTTAAATGTCAAATTTAATATTATTTATAAAGGCATATATTTGTTAAATCTTAACTTTTAATTTTTGATAATTAATTAAAATTTAAAATTTAATATAACTGTGTAATTACACTTGTGCAACCAAACAATACACTTGTAATTATAATGTAATTATATTATGTTAAACAAACAGGTCGTCGTAATTACAATACTGCATAATTACTAAATTGTGTAATTACTATCCTAGTAAACACGCCAATTCCAGTAACCTGGTGGCTTTTCAAACAGACCCTAGTAATTACAAATAATTCAATTTACAAATACTGTTTTTGCATATACCTATTTGCAATTTCATATCTTAAAGTTGTATTAACTTTTTGCCTGAGTGTATCGCGTAAAGGAGTAATTTTAAATGTAAAATGAAACAAACAAATGACATATCCCCGAATTCTTTGACGTTAAAGATAAAATATTTTTTCCCCAGCAATTTCTTAAGAATTAATACTCGAAGGGAGGGTGGGGGACCTTGGTCGATAATATCGCAAATTAGTTTTTTGGTTTCCCACCCGGTGTCCGGTATCTGCATTGGAGCCCGACTATATCCGGATTCGCGCCGCGTAGAGCCCCTTTCGGGGGGAAGCGCTCCCTACCAATGATTTTTCCATACCCAGGACTCGAACTCGAGAATATATCTCGCAAATTTTGATTCACTCGTGGAACGATTTAGTAATAGACGGGAAATATAAAAATAGTTATTCTGGCATTTGTGAAACATTGTAGACGAAAGATGAACATATATACCAAAAATAAGTGTGTCTTTAGCCACTATATTTTGTTATTACAAATATACAAGTTGATTAAAGTATGAAGATGTGATTTAAAAGGCTATTTGGCTTCTAGAAATTATTCGTAAATCCAAACTATTCATGAAAGGAAAGAAGAATGAAATACTTGAAGCAACGAGGCACCAGTTTTGACTTTTCCTTGTTTCCCAGTCAAACTTGTCTACCCCTTTCAAGTCTTTCAAGAGTCAGGATATTTAATTTTGTGAACATATATAACCTCGTGCTTTTTCAACGCATTCATTCAATCGATTTCATCCATGAAATGGTTCCAGTATAATGTCAAAGGTGTTGGATCAAAAATTGCTTTAGGTCGCAGATGAAATGGTTCCAGTATAGTTTGAGGGAATTCCTTACTTGTTTCATCCATGGGGGAGTGGGTAATTGCAGCCATTATCAATTTGTTAGGAAGCATTATCATTAACTTTGGAACCAACCTCCTTAAATTAGGCCACCATGAGAGAAAGAAACACTCTATGAATGTAAAAGTTCCAATCAAGAAGCCCATTATATACTTCCAAACATGGAGAATTGGTATATTATTCTTTGCAATAGGAAATTGTCTCAATTTCATTTCATTTGGATATGCTGCTCAATCACTTCTAGCAGCTTTAGGATCTATACAATTCGTCTCCAACATCGTTTTCGCCTACTTTCTTTCGAACAAAACAGTGACAATCAAAATAGTATTAGCCACTGCCTTTATTGTTGTTGGTAACATATTCCTTGTAGCCTTTGGCAATCACCAGTCCCCTGTTTACATGCCAGAGCAATTGGCTGAAAATTACACAAACATTACATTCCTTCTTTACTGTCTTACTTTGGTCTTAGTTATTGCTCTACATCATTCAATATACAAGAGAGGAGAAGGCCAAATGCTGGTTCCATTTTCATATACAGTTGTTTCAGGTGCTATTGGATCATGTTCAGTATTATTTGCTAAGTCTCTTTCAAACATGTTAAGATTGTCAATGTCATCAAGTGGTGGATATGAAATATTGAACAGCAGGTTCACATATTCGATGCTTCTGATGTTTCTAGGTACAGGTGGATTTTGGATGGCGAGGTTAAACGAAGGACTTTCGCGCTTTGATGCAATACTTATTGTCCCTATGTTTCAAATAGCTTGGACTTTTTTCTCCATTTGTACTGGATTTGTGTACTTTGAGGAATACAAGGTGTTTGATACTTTGAGAACAACAATGTTCATTCTTGGAATGATTTCTGTGTTTGTTGGCATTTATTTGCTAGCACCTGAAGATGATGAATCATATTCAAAAGGAGGTGAAGTACTCAAGGATGAGAAGAGGTTGTTCATGTCATCTCAAGACTCCCAAATTAAGGATATAGAGATCATTTGGACAAGTTATGGTGATGAAAGCTGCTAACATGATTGGACCAAATTCTCATTTGAAGACGACGCTGTCGTATAGGCGCAATCAGGATTTCAACGTTATGGGTTCTGAATTTTAGAACGACAATTTTAAGTGTTAATAATTGGATTCTACATATTTAATGAATTTCTCAATACAAATACATTTTTTGAGCAAAAACTACAGAATTCAGTCGAACATGTAGACGGGCTTCTAGCTCCGCCCTTGGATGGTGAGACGATCTTGGAGACAACTGCAATGCTGCACCAGGGTATCAACTTGGACTATGAGGGGGGTGACATTGGTTCGTGGTGACGGACATGACAATGGCACGGGCAGAAAGGCTTTGTTGAATCCCTTTCGTTGTCAAAATTATATCTTGTATATAAGATAAATACATTTTTTTTTTTGTATATATTGAAATTTTGGAATTCCTTTCACATAAGGAAAGCTTCTATTTAATAATCAAATAGTAGCTTTAAAATGGTTTTAGGCTGCAAATGCAACTCTTAGGTGTTGCATCTTTGCACATTCTGAATTGCCTTACTAAAATTCTTGGTTCCGTAGACATAGTGATTACTTCTTTCTTCTTTATGGAAAATATTCAAGGGTACTGGTCTTTATTTCTCATTCAACTAAAGGTAAAATGACACTGAATAGCCGCTCTAAAATAATAGCCGAAATATATATATATATATATATANGATACGACTACGAAGTAGCCGCTACTAAAATAAATAGACCGAATAATATAATATATATATATATATGTAAATTAACAAAAATATACTAACTTGTACACATTTCTTCGACAAATAGTTTCTGACGCAATCTAAAAGTGAAAAAAGCCCCAACTAAATATTTTATTTTCTTTTGCATTCAATTTTAGATAAAATTTACTAAAATGGGTGACAAAATGCTTATTCTCATTTTTTAAGATTTCATAAACATTTAGAGTTCTAAATAGAAATTTTCATTCTAATCCGTTTGTCTTTAAATTATTTCATTTTCAAGTTATTTAGTTGTTCCTCCATATTGTGGAAAACTACAAAATTCAATATGTTTATAGGATTCTCCTAGTGTCAGGAATTAAGTGTTTGATTCTAACCTATAGAGAGGCGTATTCATAATTGAATCTTACTGCGTTGTGGTGGTGCTACTGGCACATATACACTACATTCAAAAATTCGTAGATGGGCAATATTTGGTTCATGACCAAAAACTAATTGTGACGGAGAATATTTATTATAATATGTCGGTCAGAGACGGATAAGTGATGCTTCATGCAAGATAGCATGGCCCCAAACAATAGTGGCAATTTTATTTTCATAAGTAGTGGTCTTGCTATCAATTGTAGGCATTTAATAAATGACTCTGCAAGGCCATTTTGAGTATGAACATAAGCTACAGGATGTTCAACTTTTATCCCAACTGATAGACATTAATCATCAAAAGCTTGAGATGAGAATTCTCCAGCATTATCAAGGCGAATAGCCTTTATAGGATAATCTGGGAATTGTGTCCTTAATCGAATTATTTGGGCTAATAGCTTTGCAAACGCCAGGTTGCGAGATGATAGTAGGCACACATGAGACCATCTTGAAGATGCATCTATTAGGACCATAAAATATCTAAACAACCCACTTGGTGGGTGAAAAGGTCCACATATATTCCCATGTATATGCTCTAAAAAGGCAGGGGATTCATTGCCAACCTTCATTGGTGATGGTCTAGTGATCATTTTGCCTTGATAACAAGCATCAAAGTCGTCATTTGTAAGAATCTTCAGGTTCTTTAATGGATGCCCACTCAAATTTTCAGTAATTCGTCTCATCATTATTGATCCAGGATGGCCCAAACGGCCATGCCAAAGCACAAAAGTATTGAATCCGTAAACTTCTGGTTTACGATAGAGTGTGCTTCAATTGTACTAATTTTTGAATAGTATAAGCCAGAAGACAAAGTTGGTAACTTTTCTACAATGCATTTCTGGCCAGCAATATTCTTTGTTATACAAAGATATTCCATGTTCATTTCATCTATTGTCTCAACATGTACCAATTTCGGCGGATATCTCTAAAACTCAACAAGTTTCTTTGGGACTTGGAGGAGAACAATGCATTGTCTATAATAAGTTTTGTTCCCTTGGAGAGAAATATAATTGCTCTTCCAGAGCCTTCAATCAAACTTATATTACCAGAAATTGTTGAAACATTTGCTTTTTCCTTATGCAAATAAGAAAAGTATTTCTGATCCTTGAATATGGCATGAGTTGTTCCACTATCAACAACACAAATATCTTCATGATTTGTCTTCGATCCAAACATAATTTGAGAATTATCCATATTCTTCAAAATGACATAAATAAAATATATTATAGTAAACATCATTATCAAAGCATAACTTTTATTTATGTACAACAATTACATAATCATACTATCTATTACAAACAACAAAAATTAAAATATTTACATTTCTACAAATTCACTACCGACTACATGACTTGTTTCTCCTTCTGGGAGTGCAAAGTAATCAGCTACATCCAAATGCATGAATTATAAATTATCTTCAGAAATAAAATTTGCTTCAGCATTTTCCTCTGTCTTCTTCAGGGAGGCTTGATAAAGCTCAACCAGGTGCTTTGGCGTACGGCAGGTACGTGACCAGTGCCATTTTCCTCCACATCTATAGCATGCATTTTCTGCATTTGGTGCTTGCACCACTTCATGCTTTTGTTCCTTCCTTTTCCACTGCTGGTGGTGAGGAGGGTTCTTTGGTGCATTATTATTACCATGATTAGAGTTTCTTCCCCGATCACAGTCATGACCACGACTGGGGCCACGACCTCGTCCACGTTTAGCTTGGTGAAAGTTCGTCTCATTCACTTCAGGGAATGGACAAGAACCAGTAGGTCGACTTTCATGGTTTTTCATTATTAGCCCATTATGTTGCTCGGCTATAAGAAGATGTGAGATAAGTTCAGAATACTTTTTAAATCCCATCTCTCGATATTGCTGCTGCAGGAGCATATTCGAGGCGTGAAAAGTGGTGAAAGTTTTCTCCAACATATCTTGATCAGTAATATTATCACCACATAATTTCAAATGGGAAATAATTCTAAACATAGCAGAATTATACTCACTTATAGATTTAAAATCTTGTAGCCTTAGACGAGTCCAATCATAACGTGCCTGTGGAAGAACGACCATCTTCAGGTGGTCATATCTATCTTTCAAATTATTCCACAGTATGACTGGATCTTTAATATTGAGATATTCCATTTTCAGGCCCTCATCAAGGTGATGGCGTAAGAATATTATTGCTTTGGCACGGTCTTGGTTTGATGCCTGATTTTTATCCTTGATGGTGTTTGCCAGATCCATCGCATCAAGATGAATTTCAGCATCAAGCACCCAAGACATGTAGCTTTTGCCCGATATATCCAGATCTACAAATTCAAGTTTAGAAAGATTTGACATTATTTAGAAAAAGAAAGTTCGTACCTCAGATACTTTCAAAGTATTTGCTCGAGATGGCAGAGTCTCGTGCTGATAACATGTTATAAAATAACGACTATAAAGTAAATAAACTAAAGACAAGTATAGAGAGAAACTGATATATTATTCAATTTCAAACTTATGTACATAATAAACTAAAATCTCCTCTATTTATAGAAGAAAGCAAGTTGCTGTGTAAGCTGCTACTGCAAGCTGCTGTGTAAGCTGCTACTAAACCAGATATAGATAATCTTCAATTGGGGGTAATGTTTACCAGGTATGAATAATCTTCTACCGGGGGTAATGTTTATCCATAACGGAGTATCGAACAGATAAGCTTATTGTACCTGGTATGGATAATCTTCAACCGGGGGTAATGTTTATCTATAACGGAGTATCGAAAGGATAAGCTTATTGTACCCGATACGGATAATCTTCAACCAGGGGTAATGTTTATCCATAACCGAGTACCGAAGTGATAAACTTCTTCACGAGGCTTATTTTCAACAGAGTACTAAATAGATAAACATATTTACGGCGGAGTCTCATATGAATAAGTTTCTTCAGGAAGCTTATTTACAACGGAGTACTAAATGAACATCCATAATATAATATATTTATAACATAAACCCATTATTTCAAAATTTTAATAAACTTTTACATATAAATTTTTATTCTACGTTAAAAATTATGGATTCAGTTGAACCCGTCATTAACGTACTATTGTGTTACTCCTTAAAATGGGAAGACGGAAAGAAACCATAATTCAATAATAATCCACTTCTGAACCAAATCTTTTTATCGGCCTCTTCCTCAAAAAATTAAGAGGTAGAAAAATATTTGGGAATTATGTTTAACGATCCCCCTTTCTTGGAGAAAAAGCAAAGTTCAATATTTTTTCCTCAACTTTTGGGTTTGCCCTAGATTTACTTTAGACAAGTTCTATAGATTTTGTCAAAAAGGCCCCTCCATTTCAGCTTAATACCTAATTAGACCCCCAAAAAAGTAAAGTGAAAGGGCTTCCACAAAATTTTCCCTAGAGTAAGCCTCTGCTACTTCTTCCGCCATTAACTCATATCTAGAAGGTTCCACTGCAAGCTCGAAAAAAGCTTGTACCTTTGTGGGTGTTTCTGTTCATATTAAAATAAAAAAACCCATCTTTTTGTTCAATTCAGTAACTAGGGTTTTTCTAGGGTTTAACAATCCAGTGTACTGAAATGGTCAGCTCTAATGCTCTTCGTATTGCTCACCGGATTGCTCGCTGCACTTTTTCTTCCGGATATTTATTAAAGGGAGGTTGTAGGGGATATAATACAGCAGTGTACAATCAAACAAGGGGCTTGTTTTATTTGAATTCTAATAATGGTATGTGTAAATTTGACCTTTTGTTGTGTTATTTGAATGAATTATAGCCGCGGATGCATAAAGTTTATTTCTTTACTGTTTTGAATTTGATTTTTTTTTTTTTGCTATTGTATGAGTTATAGGGGGCAGTGAAAGGAGGGATTGGTTAAGACCTGGATTATTCAAAGCCAATTTTGGTGCCGCAAGATCAATTCATGGAACAGGTACCAATTACACACGCCCCATTTAATGATTGTGATGAATTATCTGTTTTTTGTTATTCTATGTGGAAAATATATTAAATGTGAATTTATAATTCATCTGTCGAATGTCATAAAAATTTTGGGAAATTTATGGATTCTATATTGGAGTTCTTGTGTAAAAAAGCTGAATTGATGGGTAAAACCTTTCTGTATGCTGCTCTTCCTATGCTAATTAGACCAGATAAAAAAAATACCTTTCTGTTCCTTCATGTTCCATTGTGCCATTTGATAGTATTTACTGTGGCAATCCAGCTATATTTCTTCTGGAGGTGTTTAGTGTAATTTCTAGGAGTTAGTTTCATTTAGTTGAAACAGTTGTTAACTTGCTGTGTTTTAACTCTTATTCCATTTTAATCAAAATCTTTTTGCCTCTAAAGCCTGATGAGTACACATTATGCATAGAGGCTGGTAAATCAGAATATAGAAACTATCATACTTCTGCTGTGTTGCTCGGTGTCTTTTGTAGATTGCAAGTTGCTACTTATTCCAAGAGGAAAAAGAAGCGGTATAGAAGCTCTAGCTAGCAGGCGGACAATCTTGTATACCCCTCCAACACAGAATGATGGTAGACAGATAGATAGGTGTATTGATGGATAGATAGGTATTATTGAGAGAGACAGAGAGAGAAAAGCTTGTTTCCAATTGAAGTTAGTAAGCTGATAGGAGAGGTGGGAGATAGTTTGAATTTACTTTTATCATGCCCTATGGTGCATTCTGAGTTTCTCCGAGAAAATGGAGGTGAGGTGAAGCTCAGTCACATTTACTGGTTCCTTCCTTTAAATTGAAGATTCCCTTGTTCTATTGTTATCACGTTTTCGCCCAAAAAGGGATGCCCAGCCGGTGTTAAATGAGCTCTGTTATTATGAATTAGTAGGTGAATTATTCTTTCTAAAGAACTTAGTAAGTAAATTTTTGAAGTAACAAAGTCCTGGCTTTGAGGATTTTCATATAGGCATGCTTTCATTATCTTTGTTACTTTGCCCACCGGATGTGCTAAAGGGTTACATCTTATTCCGTCAATGACATCTACCTGACTAATATATCCCTGTGAACGGAACATCTATGTATCTAGAAGAAGATAATATTTGGAGTGTAAAACATTATTATCCACTGTACTACTGGTTCCTTACTGGTTCCTTCCTTTAAATTGAAGATTCCCTTGTTCTATTGTTATCACGTTTTCGCCCAAAAAGGGATGCCCAGCCGGTGTTAAATGAGCTCTGTTATTATGAATTAGTAGGTGAATTATTCTTTCTAAAGAAATTAGTAAGTAAATTTTTGAAGTAACAAAGTCCTGGCTTTGAGGATTTTCATATAGGCATGCTTTCATTATCTTGGTTACTTTGCCCACCGGATGTGCTAAAGGGTTACATCTTATTCTGTCAATGACATCTACCTGACTAATATATCCCTGTGAACGGAACATCTATGTATCTAGAAGCAGATATTATTTGGAGTGTAAAACATTATTATCCACTGTACTTGTCAAAAAACAAAAACTTATTATCTGTGAAATGTTTTTCGTATTGGTAAAAGTGGTATTCAATTGTTACACTTTGATGTTCATCTTGGAAATTTTGGTGGTAATCATGGGAAAATGGGTAATGATTAATGAAGGTGTTTGTTAGAATTATTTTCTTATTCTCTGGTATTTATTTTCCTATAACATTGCAGATGAATTTGACTTAAGTCACTAACATATAACCCCCACCCTCTTCCGTGTTTAATGTCTGGTTAGCCACGAGTATGAAAGATTTTTATGAGGTGCTTGGCGTCAATCGGAATGCAACTGCATCTGAAATCAAGAAAGCTTATTATGGGGTATGTTTTTTATCCCCCTCTTAGTTGGTTGATCTTGTCCTTTAAGGTTTGTAATTGTAAAAATTCATTGACTTACTACTCGAATAGGGGTTTGTAATTACTCAAGTAGCAATTTGCAATTAATTTTTATTGGAGTCGGTATCACCTTATCTCTGTTATTGGTGACACATTGTGTTATGCTTCAGCTTGCAAAGCGACTGCATCCAGATATGAACAAAGATGATCCAGATGCTGAAAAAAAGTTTCAGGAAGTTCAAAAGGCTTATGAGGTACTTGTCACTTTGGAGAACTTTTTTATCTATAAAAGGTTGTTTTTGAAGTCAGTACCACATGGATTTTTGTATGAAAAATTGTTTATTTCTATGTTGCAGGTTCTGAAGGATGAGAAAGCACGTGAACAATATGATCAGGTTTGGCATGTGTTATGGGTTACTTTGCACTTAATCCTGGCAGACATTTACTTCACTATTTCGTGTTATTTGCATATTAGGGGTTTATTTTGCCTAGAAACATTCAAAACTTTGATTATTATTTCTCTTGAATGAGAAGCATTCTGATGCATTGCTCATTGTGCAGCTTGGGCATGATGCATTTAATAGTATGAACAATGGTGGAGGTGGAGGTGCTGGGTTTGATCCGTTTGGTGGCTTCAGAAGTCCATTTGAAGACATGTTTAGAAATGCTGATGTAAGAACTAGATTTGGGTTCTGATATTCATCTACATTGTCTTGGAAAATTGCCATCGTGATATTCTGGATATTTGAATTTCTTGGTAGCTGTCTGTTGAGCATTGAGTTGTACTAATTTGCGTATGATGTTCCGCCTCTTCATAAATCTGGTTGTTGAGCTAGATCCAAAGTTGAGTGGTTGTGCTCTCCCCTGTATGAGAGAGGTCATCTGGTGTAGAGGTTGAATTTTTGCTAAACAGTGTCACAGTCGGCATTAGAGAGTATGCACATAATTGCCAAACAATCTGAATTATTTTCCTCCTTCGCTTGGCTCTCCCCTTTCGATGAATATGAGCCCCATTTGTATAAAGCTATGTGAGTCATTGACGCTTGAGAGAGATTGCAGTAGGATAGAGTCTACAAAGATAATGTTTGTGAAGAGGTACTTTGTTTGCAGCTAAATACTAATTAATATCAATGTTGGAAGTTAAAGAATCAGTAGTATTTGACGTCATTGTTACCTGCCGAGTTTCCTTAAGCTTCCAATATATACTTTTCCCAATACATCTTTATCTTACCTTATCGGAGAAGGGGGGAAAACTTTACTTCTTTTTTGTTTTGACAAGTGGGAGAAAAAAAAACTTTACTAGATACATCCCTGTTCCTTTGTGGGAAATAAAGCCGTAGGAATGATGTCGGGTGAGGTGCTATGAAAACAGATGCTTTAAGAATGCTCCTTAATCTCTTAGGCATCCACTTTTATGGTTTTTTCCTACGCATCATGACTCTTCCAACTTAAAGTCTTTTTGTGCTGAATCTGATGCAAAATTAGGTGAACCTACTGTCAGTACCTACTTTGTTATGCCCATCTCTTTTTTATTCTGAATTTCAATGCTTGAGATCTAACCTTTTTCCGTTCCCTTTGGCATTTATTGGAGATTAGATTTTTGGCAACATATTTAACAGAGACATGGGTGGAGAGGATGTCAAGGTTTCTCCTTTTATCTCTCCTCCATTTGTTATAGTGGCTGTTTCGTACTTATGCACTTCCAGCATTTATTTATTTTTAAAATGTTTTTGCCTCCTGTTGTGCAGGTTCCCATTGAAATATCCTTCATGGAAGCTGTTCAGGGGTGCACTAAGACTATAACATTCCAAACAGATTTGCCTTGCAGTGCTTGTGGTAGATTCACTTGTTTTTTCCTATGATAAAGGATATATTCACTTGTTTCTTAAAGGAGCATGGTTTAATTTAACTGCCTTATCTATATCTCTAGCAGTTTCTTTAGTTGTTTCCCTTTTTGCGGTGGGGGAGGAGGTGGGGAATCTAAATAGGACATCGATATGTCTTTCGTACTGTTGTCAAAGTTGCTAGCGTAGTAGCATTCATTTGCACAATCATTAAAGAAGCCTTTTCAGATAAGGAACAAGATTAAATATTTACTGCTGGGTGTTGAGTGAGAGGGACAGGTGATATGTTGAATTCACATGTAAAAGTTTGTCTAGACTTTTTAACCTATAAAATTTGATCAAAGTAGTCCATCCTTCTAGTTCATGTTAGCGAGGCAGACTCCAATCTACTTGGTACTTACTGCAGTCACTTTTCCTCCCTTCCTCGTTTCTCTTTTAGGTGGAACTGGTGTGCCTCCTGGCACTAGACCTGAAACTTGTAAGCGCTGCAAAGGTTCAGGTGTGGTGAGTACCGCTTGCTTATTTTCACTTTTTACTTTCGGCTACATGCATGTTTCATTGTATGTAATGTTGGCTCCTTTTTACTTATATTTTCAATAACCCTCTGCAGTCGATCTCGCAAACTGGTCCTTTCACGTTGCAGACGACTTGTCCTGCATGCAAAGGAACAGGGAAGATCGTATCGGTATGACGTCCTCTCCACAAAAACCAGTATTGTTAGTTATGCATGCATATAGCTAATGTTGATCTTTCCCTTTTGTGAGATGAGTTTGGTCATTGTGCTTTGTTTGCTGTAAGCATATTAACAAGGTATTATTATTATCCTTGATTTAAAAGATCACATGAACATCATAGAAGGGAATCTTTAGCTTCACCAACTTCATTTTTTTTGGCTCTCTTTAGCCCTATGTCTCTTATCCCTAGGAGGTCTTCCTCCACTAGCAGGTTTTTTCGGAAAACGGTAGGGCACGAATAAAGTGTACATCCGTTTCATATTGGTAGAAGTTTGTCTTCTGACTGCTGGTTGTTCATACTCAGATAAGAATAAAGTTCCTAAATATACCTTCTTAATAGAGTTTCTTCAGTTTTGTGATATTCAGAAGAATATTACTCTAGTTCTTTTGAACAGGAAGAATATTTTCTAGTTTATAAACTATAAAGAAAATGTCTGTTCTCCAGTGTTCTTGGCGTATCCCATAAGATGATCGAAGTCTCCCTCCTGATACAAAGAATTGTTAAAAAATTATTCTTTTCCACTTTTCGGCTGACACATGTACTCTTCTATTTATGTATCATCAATATACGTGCTTTCCTTTCGGGGAAGAGTGCAACAATGACTTTTGAATTCTCTTTTCAAAAAACAATGGCTTTTGAATTCTAAACCACTGCCTGTTGCAGTGTTAACTAGCATTTCAACTTTTACTTTGATGAATTGGCTTTGTTTAATGAATTATTGCGTTAAAGGTAGAAGCACTGATAGAAATATTCTTGGCCTACAGAGTTTCTGCATGTCTTGCAAGGGAAATCGGGTACTACGAGGACCAAAGACAGTGAAAGTGGATATCATGCCTGGTAAGCTGTAGTCACATATTACATCTGCTCATGACTGCCACAGCAAGTAACCAAGTATATTGTGTGAAATATTTGTCAACATGACCGATTTTGATGCTTTGTTATAATCTGCTGGTACAAAGTGCATTTGTTAAGAGTTTGTTCATTATTGATTTAGCAGCTTTAGTAGATGTATCCATGTCATAGGCCTAAATAGTATAGTTGTGGCTTGTGCACCTTAACTACCCTTGCCCCTTTTTCGAAATATGTGAAAGAAGCAAAAAAGGGTAAATTATTGTGTGACAACTTTCTTTTCAGATGAAAGCACCTGATTGTTAAAATCTGTATGTGGATTGATGCAATTTTACTTTAACTAAAACCTTTTTGTTTTTCATCAACGAGTGTTCAAATAGTCCTTTTAGCATTAAAAGTTGAAGAAAGAGATTAAACGTATCATTTGAACAATTTTTGCCTCCATTGTTTGTCTTTGTTGCTATTACGTGATGTTGAATGGTTCTATGTCTCTCTTGAAAAAGTTGAAGAAAGAGATTAAATGTATCATTTGCTTGATTTAACAAGAATGGCATACAAACTATAAAAACACACATGTACTAGTATTTTGTCTACAGACAGATCAATTCTAGAAGGGGAAAACCCGTGTATGCTGTAGCCTAGGAACAACATAATTTTGTGGTAGTGCTTGTGGCTGTGCATGCCTCTAGCTATTTTGTATCGCTCATTATTGTTTATCTACAGGAGTAGACACTGACGAGACACTCAAGGTGTATGGAAGTGGTGGAGCAGATCCTGAAGGCAATCGGCCTGGAGATCTTTACGTTGTTATTAAGGTTCAGTTGAAGGCTTCCATGGTCATTTTGTATGTCAGGATTCTATTTTCAATTTTGATTCATGTTATTAACAGAGGCCTCTGGAATTCTTTTTTCAGGTCAGAGAAGACCCTGTTTTCCGGAGAGAAGGCTCTGATATTCATGTAGATGCTGTTTTGAGTATCACCCAGGTACTATTTCCGTAACTAACTATAAGCATTGCTGATATAAAATAAAGTGTCGCTGCTGTTTATTAAGGAATATAGAGTAACTACAGTTCACTATGCCCCATAAAGTCACAAATTTTGATTTCTTCTGTTTTTTAAGTGCTATTTTGCATCTAAGTTGTTATCCTCATATCAATTACTATTTCCTTGCATTTTTTTTCTTAAAGTCTTATTCTTATGATGCAAATAATCTTTATAAACCTTTTAAGTTCCCATATCCCTCCAAACAAAAAGATTACAGAGTTACCACAGTTCTTAAAGTATATTGAGCCTACCCCTGGTCACTTGAGTTTTAGGTTATTAGTGGCTTGGCTTGCTAACCTGTTTGTGTTCCATGACCCAAAGTATTAGGTAATGTTGATTGGGAAACTAACGTACTTGGTGGGTGGAGGATACAACATGAAACTTTTTGCATTAATATGTATGAATTGTTTTCTCACATGGAACTAATTGAGAAATTTCATCACATTAACATATGCTGGGACCCAAAAACGTTTTGCATTTCTGGACATCTGGTAGCCATAACAGTTGTCAACATGAGGCCACATACTTTTGCCATTATATTATTTCTTGTCATGGCTCCTAAATCTACGACTTTGTGAATCTTCGCTGGGTAATATGGTTAGATTCTGATGAATACTTCACTGCAGGCAATCTTGGGAGGAACAATCCAAGTCCCAACTCTGACTGGAGATGTTGTTGTTAAGGTACTGAAATACTACTAAGCTAATCATAGTTAACTTTTGCCCTTCATCTTCCTTCTTGGAATGTTTAAAAGTTTGAAGACATTTGCACTCTGACTGTCCTACAACTTGGTAAAAGTGAGAGTAGAAAGAGAGAACACATTGGAAATGGAGAGAAAATGTGGTCCCGCATGATATTTCTACAATTGGTTGGGATAGGGTCTCAAGTTAAACTTTTAAGACATTTATGTAAGTGATAAATTCCCATTGCATATTTTAGCATGTCTAATTCTCATAGTAAAAGGCAATCTTGTTCAACTGACACAAAAAGGGTAGAAAAATGTTTGGGCTTATGGTTGATTACACCACAAAAACAGCAGGAAGAGATGAACAATAGGGGGGCTGCTCAGGGGCTTCTAGGAGGCAACTATGAAAATTTAAGGTGTCAAAAGAACTCTAGCATCAGATAGATCCTCGAGACATAAAAAATGGTAGATAGCTCGGAAACTTTTTGCATTACCTGGAATTTTATGAATTGAAAAGTGAGAGCAGCACGATATATAATATTTGTTACCCTTTAAAACTAAATGATTATCGCGAAATATAGACGATAAGGCGCTCCTTACTTATTTATTGGATGTAAACTAATAGGATACAAACTTTATTGTCTAGTCTAGATCACTTCAATTTTCCGAAGTTCTATCAAATATCCACTCAAACTAGTCAATTCTTTTGTTTTAGTGGAGAATATTCTGACATAGCGGTTATTGGACCTCTATAACAGCAACAGCCAAATATCTCTTGCCAGAAAGTTGCCGGAGTTGGAAATTTAAGGCAAAGAAGTAGGTTAAATATTCTGCACTGAGACTAGATAAATTAAGCAAGCTCCTCCATACTTGTTCAATCTGCCAGATAGTTATTAATTCCTTTCTTATTTTGGTCGAGACTGCTGTTTGTACATCTTCAATTGCCAAATGCCACTTGGCCAGAAAATTCTCGAACTTGAAGTTAAGGGTAAAAAGTAAATTTTATTTTTCTGCACTATGACTAGGTTAATTAAGCAATCACCGTACCTGTTCAATCTTCAGGAAGATGGTACAATATGAGTTTTTGAGCCTTCAAATCATCCTTAACCCGCATTATATTAGTTTTGAGAAATGTTTGGTGGTTTATTTCTTGTAGGCAATGGTCATTGCTAAAATGTAAAGGGGTTCTTTGACGTATAGAACAACCAAGGAATTGATTTTACTGTTTGGTCCTTCGATGATTGATCTTGATGTGCCAAAATTCTGATATCCTGTTGTTTGTAGGTTCGTGCTGGCACTCAACCTGGCCAAAAGGTTGTCCTAAAAAAGAAAGGTAACAGTTTCTTTAAATTGCTTTGTTCAAGACAGTTTCTTTTCTTCTGGATTAGTTCTTTTGATGAATCCTTGTTTTGCTGAATGCTCAAATTTACTGGATCATCAGATGATTTGGATATTTACCCATATTGTCAAGTTATAGTGTGAGGTATAGTAGGACTTGTATCAATTTACAGTGTGATGGTCTGTGTGTAACAAACAAATAACTCTACATAGGAGTAGTTTGCAAGACCTCCCAGCTTTATCCAAGCAGTTTTCTTTGATGTGCAGTTGTGCACAGAGTCAATCTTGTTTAACTCTTGAAATTATAAACTATTTCGTTCAAGCTTATAATATTTCTGTGTGCTTATGCAGGAATAAAAGGACGGAATTCCTTCTCATTTGGGGATCAATTTGTCCACTTCAATGTCAGCATTCCCACGTAGGTGCTCTTTGTGTAAAATGTGGAAATGACTATCTACTGCCGCACTTTTTACTACCGTTGACTCTTTTGTCAGCCTAGTCTCAAGAAAATTAGGAGGTTTTATAATTTGATGGCCACTGAATTAACTCATAACAAAATATTTGGTGGAGAAGGTACACTCATGAAGCTATCCTGTATTCCGCCATCTTCTAATGATTATTTTTGCAACTTGGGTGCAGAAACTTGACACCAAGACAGCGCCAATTGATTGAAGAGTTTGCCAAGGAGGAGCAAGGGGAATACGATAAAGGGGCTGCAGCAGGAGCCTCTAGGTGAGGGCACAGTACGAGCTAGGTTAGTGGGTATAGGGATGAGCCAAAAGTGTGTACTATCACGTTACAATTCTTTTTCTCATGAGCTGGGAAACATATCCAGAGCAATTTTGGGGTTTGGTCATTTCCATTTTATCGGTTTCCTTTACCTCGGGCGAGGATTTAATTGTTGCTTGATGGAGGGGACTGGTTGATTGGAAAGATAGTTATAGTATCATTATTGTGGCAGCGAGATAGTGTAGCATTTGACCTGCAACTTATGTTGTATATATAAACATGAAACAACTCACTGTTTCTGTAGGAAATGAGAATAATAGCCTAGCATGGCACTAATTCTCTTATCTGCACTTACCGAATATGATCATAGCAAAGAACTGGTTGACTCAGTCGAATCACGTAATATTATTTTCAAAATAGCCAAGTGCTTAAGCGCAAGTATTGGCGAATTATTGATTAGCTCAAAAAACTATTATAATAATAATTATATATTTGAATTCTTATGCAAGAAAGTTAGGTTTATTGTAACCAGATGAAAAAAAAACCAATTGTAAACCTGCATTATGTGTAAGATTTCAGGTCGGGAAGAGTGTGCCTGCTTGGTTTCCTTTTCTTTTCTAACCAAAATTTTGATGTTGTGTGTAAAACTTCGATTTTTTATACTTAGTCTTTCTCTTCTCTGCCATAATCAAAAGGTTTTTCACGACTCCACAGGATCAATTTACATGTGTTGTTTTTCCTTGCCCATTTGGAAGAAGGGCGTTGGTATACCTTAAATATGCTTCTTTCTCTATTTTTCAGAAGTACATTGAAAATGTCTTCTTTTTTTTCTCCAGCGTGATTTGAGACACCTCTAACTCGTACAATCAATTCTTGTTATTCGATGATATAAATAGGTCGAATTTTGATAGTCAATATTTTGAAATTTGACTATTTGACTATTAGTGACGAATTCGGTCTTTTGAAGAAATCAAATAATTTAATAATATTTTGTAGTAATTTTCTGTACTTAGAGAAAGTCAGGTCAAATTGGACCTAATCAGGTGGCCTAAAGTAGAATGAGAAAGTAGTCATCTGGTGCTAGTTTTTTTTCTTACTCTATTTGAACTCTATCCGACACCGGCAAGACGAGTTCATTTGACACCTTCACTAACATACACCAAGGATCTGCGATAAGCCCGTTCTTATTTGCCCTGACGATGGACGCACTGACACACCATATCCAAGGGGAGGTGCCATAGTGTATGTTATTCGCTGATGATATAGTACTGATTGATGAGACGCGAAGTGGTATTAACGAGAGATTGGAGGTTTGGAGACAGACCCTTGAGTCTAAAAGGTTTCAAGCTGAGCAGGACTAAGACTGAATACGTGGAGTTCAAGTTCAGCAGCATGCCGGGTGAAGCGGACGTGGACGTGAGGCTTGACTCGCAAGTCATTCCCGAAAGGGAGCTTCAAGTACCTGGGGTCGATTATTCAAGGGGATGGGGACATTGACGAGGATGTCACGCACCGTGTAGGAGTGGGGTGGATGAAATGGAGGCTAGCGTCTGGTGTTCTGTGTGACAGGAAGGTGCCTCCGGAACTTAAAGGAAAGTTCTATAGAACGGTGGTTAGGCCGGCCATGTTGTATGGTGCAAAGTGCTGGCCAGTGAAGAATTCCCATATCCAGAAGATGAAAGTTGCAGAGATGAGGATGCTGAGATGGATGTGCGGACACACTAAGCTAGATAAGATTAGGAATGACGATATTCGGGGGAAGGTGGGCGTGGCTCCCATGGAAGACAAGATGCGGGAAGCTAGGCTTAGATGGTTCGGGCACGTGAGGAGGAGAAGCCTGGATGCACCGGTGAGGAGGTGTGAACGGCTGGCCTTGACGGGTATGAGGAGAGGTAGAGGGCGGCCTAAGAAATATTGGGGAGAGGTGATCAGGCAGGACATGGTGCAGATGCGGATTTCCGAGGACATAGCCCTTGATAGGAAGTTGTGGAGGTCGAGCACTAGGGTGGTAGGTTAGGAGACAGGAGGCTAGTGTGATAGTGTCTTGCTTTAGGCTACTAGGGGCTCCAGTTGTATTCTTAATACTTCTTTAGGGTCGAAAAGTTAGGCTTTAGTAGGTTTAGTGGCCCTGTATGTACATATTATTCCCTTGCGTATGTAGTATTGTGCCTTTGTTGATGTTTAGTGTTAATACTTTGCTGTCTATTTTCTGGTTATTGCGTTGCTGGTGTTATATGTTAGGTTTCCTTTGCTGCTACTGATACATTGTCTCTTTCTTTCTTGAGCCGAGGGTCTACCGGAAACAGCCTATCTACTCCTCCGGAGTAGGGGTAAGGTCTGCGTACACACTACCCTCCCCTGACCCCACATGTGGGATCTCACTGGGTTGTTGTTGTTGTTGTAATAACTGAGATGTCCAGATGAGTCTCTAAAATCTGTCATTTGTACCATCACATGAAACTTGGTACAATTCATTTATTCAGTGTTAGGCAAAGTGGAGAGTGTACTAAGCTATCAACCTGTGCCTTGCGTTTTATGTTCTGTACAAGTCAAGAAATATGATGTCTTTTTCATCTATAATTCCACTCCATGTGTAGGAAATCTGGTTTCACAATCTGTTAGTTGGATAAAGACTAAAGGCAGAAGTTGGAATACATAACAAGTCAGGAACAGAAACCTAATATCACAACCATATTCTTGATCTTTATGTAAAGCGCAAAGGTACATTTGTATAACATGAGGTTCTCTAGATAGAACTTTTCTTTTTTATCCAATCTGATAGTTAAAATAGCACGGTATAGCCAGTTTTCGGACTGGTTATTCAAAAATAGCCAGCGTTTACCAAGTCAATGAAAAATAGCCACTATTTTGCTGCAGCAGAGACGTCCAGCATAATATACTGGAATTCGGTGCACCTGTGTATGAACTCCAGCATATTATGCTGGACCGGTATACTTTGCTGGCTCCAGTATATTATGCTGGAGTTCTAGTGTACTTATGCTGGAACTCCATCAATAATGCTGGAGTTCCAGCATACTTATCTTGGAACTCCAGTATAATATGCTGGAGTTCAAGTATACTTATGCTGCAACTCCAGCATAATATACTGGCGTATTTTCCGGGTTTTGAACAGTGTTTTCGCTCAAATTTTTCTTTTCATGAAAAGTGGCTAAATTTCGATTACTTTTGAAACTAGGCTATTTTTGAACGACCAGTTGTAAATCTGGCTATTTTTGAATTTCACCCAATCTGAAACCATCCAAATTTAAATAAAAATGGGAGACCGTAGTCTCAAAATACAGAAATAAAATCTTTTGAAATTTAAAGCTTACGAGCTAAAAAGTTTGAAGTATGATGCATACATCAGGATAACCAGGAGTACTCCTCTTCCTGAAGTATTTAGAAGTAGCAAAATTTATGTAACCTTCATTTTTTTTTAATTGCAACATTGCTAGACCTAAAACGGATAATTAAAATTACAAGTGAAACTATATCTGAAACTATCATGGAAGTAGGAATTTACCCTTTCAAACGGACTCCTATCCTTATTTAGTACTCCAACCAGCTCACTTTAATCGATTTTTTCTGTTGTAGTATTTAATTTTTCCAAATACCAAGAAAAAATAACTTTCTTTTTTTCAAAGCTACTCTTGGAGTAAAGAGCCTAGAAGTACTTGCTGTATTTCTAAAGAACAAATTAAGGTTAATATGGTCAATTTTATTGTTTATTAATGCTAAAAGGTAAATTCCTTAATAGGTGTGAAAACGACCAAAAAATCAATTAAAGTGGACCAAAGAGAGTAATGGAAACTTTTACTCAGAAGTGTTCTTTTGGACCTCACCATTTCAAATGCATAAGCCTAGTGAGGCCGCTGAAGCAAGCTCCCTTTATCATTCAATAAATAAATGAAATTACGAGGAAATATTTAATTCTCAGAGATCTTCTCAAACTTGCTCTTTCACGGATTGATCTACAGTAGTATATCTTTTTGACATGGATATTGCACAGAGAAAGGGTCAACCTGAACAGAGGGGGATAAAGTTCATTTCTTTCTTCAGTGTATGCACTCAATGAAAATGGAATTTCTAGGAGGTAAAAAATTCACTAATCAACGACTTAAGTATTTTAAAGCCAACCCAAAGTTTTTAACAAAAAAAAAATGCAAAGATAAATAAGTGACAAATAGAACGATAACTTTTAACCAGAAATAAAAAAGTTGTCCACGAAAGAGCACTTTCACTCACCAGATCATTACATATTCAACCGCAACGAAATGGGTATACATAAGGTGGGGGGATTGATGTCAAAAATTTCAGGATGACATCAATGCACCAAACAGATAATCAACCTCCCTACATCACATTATTTAGAACGAACACCAAAATAATGCGCCTACTAAACCTATTTTCTCAAACTAGGCCTACAAGTTACGTAATCTCAGTAGTAGCAATAATCAAGATGAGAGGAACTGCATCTTGAATACTTAAATCTCCATGAGAGTATTATTGCAAGAATAGAATACAAGTATAAGCAATTGCCCACACGATGAGTACCTGCAGCATGAGCTTGCCGCTGGCTAAAATCCATAATAATGCTCGAACTGGCCATTGTCATGTTTGTTAGTAAATTCAGCATTCTATGTTTCAAGATGCAGATTTCCCTTTTGATTTTTGTTTCTTCGCATCCAACCCCGCCAAACCTGTTCCTAAACCAACAGGAGTTTGATCTTGTCCTGGTATTTTGGAATGGTCTGCTTGGGCATCTCCTCCAGGTCCATCAGAAGAATGACCATTCGCTTCTTTCTTTTCTTCATTAGTTTCATTAGCATTTGCAGCATCCGGCGTGGCGCCAGAGTTTATTACATTGAGTAGCTGGGTAAGAGGGGGTAAAGTCGCTGCAGGAACACCACTGGGACGTACCAGAAGACCCCTTGCTGCAGCTTTTTTCCTTACTTCAGCAGCAGCTCGTGCAGCTCTTTCATCAACTCCTCTTCCTCGAGGAAGCCCATCACCAAGTACTGCAGAACTTAATGATTGGTTCATGCCACCAACACCAGCACCTCCAGCAGCAGCTTGAAATGCGTGTAGCAGGCTAGGATGAGCCTGCAACATTCAACTCAAAACAGTGAACATCCTCTTTCTAGTTGACATACTTATAAACTAATTCCAAGGCGACCACAATCATGTCCTAGAATGAAAATCCACTAATAAATTCTCTCCAACATTGGCCATCAAAAGGGAAAAGGAAAAGCCAAGATCCTATATATGCCATAGTAATTGTTGATCTAAGGGTCCTAAAGAGGATTAAACATGCACTATCACGAGAGAGATATGAAGAGGGAATGCAAAT